GTGGTTACGTTTCACGCTCATGGGAGATTAAGAGACATTCACATCCTGAATATTTGCACAAAAAGTGATACAAGAAAGCCAGAGGCCCTTGCATGGCTGTGGGATAACTATCCAGGCCTGCGGATGTCGCCATGCTCGTATCAAAACTCACTGCTCTGCTGTTCGGCCTTCTGGTTGTCCTCGTCTCCTTCTCGTTCGGGGCGGCGATCAGGGGCGCGTCGGGCCTCCCACACGGCAGCCTCAGGAGGGTCAAGCCCCCGGTGTCTCAGTACGAATTCTTAAGGCCTGTCGATTCCAAAAGGTCTGGCGAAGACCATGGGGAAGCAGCGATTCAAGAAGTGCCGCAAGCTCTGGACTTTACCTTGGACGTGAAAGTGACGGACAACGGAAACGGGAGATATGACAGCGCTGCAATCTCTCTTTCCAAACACCCGGGAGATAATGGCTACACGCCGGAGAAAAGCGTCACGAAGAAATTGGTCAGACGTGGAGAAAGGCTGACCTCTAGCTCCATGACTGACGAAGTCCTAACAACGGAAGCTAAGGCTCACGAGAGAAAAGAAGTCAGTAAGAATCAAGTCCCTCTCTTCTCCTCGACTGAGAGTCTCCAACAGCCAGGAGAATCTTCGTTGGCCCCAGAAGACGCCATGCTTCCTACAACAGGAAAGAGAATAAAGGAGGAAAAGGGTGAAAGGGTTAAAGGCGACACCCTCTCGGCACATTCGAAGAACAGGTGCGAGTTCAGGTCGGCGCCACCTGAAGTAGTCTTCCCAGATGCGTTCGAAGAGTTTTCTAAGTCGATGAAAGCAAGCCTCGGCCGCAATTACGAACCTGAAGACGTGCTCCTCGACAGCCTCCTTCCCGACGGATGCCACTACATGGAGAGGCAGAAGAAGAAAGTCATGTGCACCGGAACCAACATGACGTCCATCCCCGAGTTCGACCACGCGAGGAACATCGAAACCCTGCACTTCAGCGGGACGTCCATCGTGCAGGTGACCAACCTCGACCCCCTCCCGAGATCCCTCAAGGGCCTCTACTTCTCCAACGGCATGCTCAAGGCCTTCGACGGCAGGAACCTCAACAGGGTGTCTGGGCTCGAGGTCCTCTCCCTCGACGCCAACTTCATCAACAGCTGGAGCTTCGTCACCACCTTCTACTCCATGGGCGGCTTCGCTGAGCAGAACACCATCAAATTGCTCGACATTCAAAACAACCAAATAACTTATCCAGTGAGTACCTTCAGTCCAAACATTTTTTTTTTAGAAACAGACGCCTTGTCAGTGTTAACAGATAAGATGTTTACTTCTGTACCTTCAACTCTTACTGTTCTCTTCTGATCTGGAAGTGATAACTATGATGACGCAAATGAATGCAATAAAGATGGTGAAAATGGTTGATGTGTAAGAATACTGTTCATGATAATAATGTAAACAGTAACAAAGAAAAGCAATAAAACAACGACAATAAGAAATGATGATTGGGATTACGATAGTAAAAATAACAATAGCAGTGTTAATGGTAATTGCAATGATGCTAATACTGAAAATAAATAAAATTTTTTATCAATTTTATTGTTCTTTGCTCTCTGAGTATCGTCTGCATTATTAGACGACATTATTATTACCATCACCATCGAAGTCATTACTAACACCGTTGTTTCCGTAATCATTACCCTCCTTACCTCCATCATAAAGACAGTCATTATAATGATATTGATAATATTGATGTTAATGGAAAATAATGGTAATAATTGTAATGATACTACTACTACTACGACTACCACTAATAAAGATAAAACTAATACTACTACTAATAATGTTAAAATAATAATAATGATAATAATGATAATAACAACAATTATAATGATAAAATAAAGATAAAAGTTATAATATTATCATTAAATAAGATGATGTCGATGATAATAATTAAACCCAGGATATTATTCAATAATAATAATGATTTCTACATTTATCAAAATGAATACGGTTTATTACCATCATTATAATAATTATTATTGTTGTTACTATTATCTTTTTATAATGATAATAATAATAATGATAATAATAATAATAATAATAATGATAATAATAATAATAATAGTAATAATAATAATAATAATTACAATGATAATAATGATAATAATAACAACAATAATAATAATAACAATAATTATTATTTTTTTATTATTATCATTACCTTATAATAATGATAATGATAATAATCATTATTCTTATTATTGTCATTTTTGTTCTTATCCTCATGATTAGTATTATTGTTATTATTATTATCATCATTATCACAATTATAATAATAATAATGATAATAATAAAAATAAAAATAATGATAATAATAACAATAATAATAATAATAGTAATAATAATAATAATAATGATAATAATAATAATAAAATAATAATAATAATAATAATAATAATAATAATAACAATAATAATAATAATAATAATAATAATAATAATAATAATAATAATAATAATAAT